ATTTATTACACAAAAAAAAAACCTGTTCTAATGTTTGAGTCTAAGGTTTATTTTTTAAGCACCTGACGGCTCTTTTTTGCTTCTCATCCGTAAACACTCTGCATCCTCTTTCACGTGATTCAGTTTATTTTGAAAAGTCTCAACAGGATCTTAAGCTTTATTGTGAAAGGTTTATGTGGAAAATAAACAAGCGGGCACGCGATGGTTTTACCGTCGTTGTTCCTAACAACAACGCATAAAAACAGGAGCTTGTCCGTCCGTAGTGTGGTTATATTAAATATAAGAGAAAGAGAGAACTTTAAGAAATTAATATAGCCACCACAGTGACCATCAAAACGCTGAAAAGAATATTGCCGTAAACAGTTTATTTTGCGACACCATGAAACAAACGATAGCATAAAATGAAATGATAGACGTTTCTATATCGTCATCCCATATATATATATCGTTATATCAAACAGCCCTACCTTGACCTCACCAAGTCTGTAATGCTCTGGGGGGGTATTTTGCTACCATGTTTTCGGTCTGCTTGTTGCCACATAGGGAAGATATTTATCCTACGATAAAAATTTCTATCTCATCAATTTAAAGATTATAAAAAGATGTGAATCATGTCTTATGGTTCGCTGGGTTTGTCCCATTTAAATTGATCCACTCCATCAAGCTGACTGATTGATCTGGCATTGAGATGTGAAACAGCAGTTCCTCGATTAAAACTTACACATCAGTTCACTGAGCACAGTGTGAGGACTAACGATTAGCCAACCAGCACCGTGGCGTGGGATTTAATCTGATGTCAATCTGTGGAACCCAATTTTTTTTTTTTTTTTTTAAATTGCCATTGCTTGCTAATTTGCTGAACAACAAATACTGGACAAACATCAACTAAACAAGTAAAACTGTAAAAATTCGTAACATTTTAAGGTTCTTTAAGAGCCTTTTTAGTTCTTTTTAGTTTCTTAAGATGGTATTTTATATGTATGTAAAAAAAAAAACAGCCAACGGGAACCACAGAGTAATATGATACTTAAACACAGTCACTTTTGTCAACACATAAAATAAAGATTTTTTTAAAAGATACTGAGGCTTAGACCCATAGGCTACAACTATACAACTGAAATCGAAGAAAGTGCTCTTAAAGCTCAGGCAAAACCAGTTTGTTTCCATGGATATTAGACAGATTAATATGTAGGGCTTCAGGAATTTGTTAGAGGAAATGAAATGCCGTCCCTCACGGAAAAGGCTGCATCCATCTATTATACTGCATTTGTGCCCAAGTGATGGAAATGTCGTCACCAGGCTGTTAGCACGAGACTGTGCGGACTTCAAGCAGACCTCGAGCGGTCTTTAAAGAAATATAACAATAATCATTACTCATCCTCTGTTTCTGTCACTGTCCACAACCAACTGTAAACCTCACTTAATCCTATGGTCTGCATGGCCACTAGATCACGACTACACATGGAGTATCCTCAGCCACATATTTGCTTTGAGCTGTACTACAGGAGCTAAACTTACTTGATAAATGTGATATGCTCTAACTATGATATGAGACATGGGAACACCAATGTTTATTCTCCACTTTACATCCATAATCTAAATTCAGGAGTATTAAATAAGACATAATAGAAAACACAGGTAGAAGATGAGCCTGGTGCCAAAACAATTAAATTCTTTAGTTGGTGCAGGTTTCCGTTTTTAAACCAGGTAAAATGTGCTTTTTCAACTCACAAAAGTTCATGTACTTATGAAGGATCATAAAAATAAGGCAAATTGAAAAGTATCAAACTCTGGCCTATGTCTATGTACTTGAGAGCCTGTTCCTTGGACAATTTTAGAGTATGAAAGTTAAATCATCAATGGCTTCATTAAATATTGCACAAAAACAATAAGCCGATTCTGAGATGGGAACTTTTGATAGGTTTGGGTGCTTTTCTTGAATAACTCTGGTGCAGAGTTTCAGAGAATCATGAAAGCTAAACACTTTAGGAAGGCTAATGTGCCACACATTCACATGTCCCACCAAAACCTAGAAGGATTAGAAGTCACTAAACCTCCACATCTCCAGTGGGTGGAGTGGAGTCATGTAGTGTTGAGATGCATGCCTGCATCTCAACACTACATGACTATTGTGCCACACCATCCAAGCCCAGTGTTTATTCAGTCTGCAGAAATAAGTCCCCACATCTCTTCCCACTGCGAGTCCCCAACGTGACATGGGTACCTGTTATGTTATAATGAGCCTCACCATAAGTCCCGCAGCAGGACCTATTCATTTTGGGTTTGAAAGATTAAGAAGTTTGAGAACCTTTGCTCCAGACTAATCAGCCAGCCGTGCCTAATCTAATCACACAAATGATCTCACTGCTCTCAGTGGCAGCTTGCTCTGAAATTAAACGTTTATAACAATTACCAGATATTCTGTTTTTCTACTGGGGGGTGGGAAGCTTTATTTAAGGATAACAGTGTCAAGTTTTATCTATAGCACAGCTTCACTCTGGAGTGGTCTAGCCTATTTGGAGGACACTTGTGCAGCTTGGGCGCTCCACCACCTGACATATGGGTGGGGTGTGGCGTGGTGAAGGAAGGCCATGCATCTCCTTACATTGAGTTATGCTCTGCTGGACTACACTGTGACGCTTGTGAGCTGAAACCCCAGTATAGTGAAAGAATTACAGTCTGGGAAACTTCTGGACATGCAGAGTTAATGATTCCTTACACAGACGAGGGGTTGTGTATTTGTCTGCGCGTGTGTGCTGTGTAGTATGCAACACTGGCCAATGGCTGGCCAGCTTCAATCCTGGTAATCGGCTCAAGAGGAGAAGAGAGGGGACCCTGTGGCCCCCCTACACCCTTATCCAAGAAAGAGGTGGGGGGTGGGCAGCTCGCCTAAAAACACAGCAGCTGACACAATCACAGTCATAGATTTAAATTAAAACTACTTAACCACAAAATGCACCAGTCACAGGCAGGATTGGATGCAAGGACGTGTCCTGAGGGGGGCACAGGGTGGCACCAGGCATCCCTCTACCAATGCTATTTTGCTAGAGCACTATTAAGCCATCTAATATTATATAAATAATGAAAATCATCTCTACTAGCAGCATTAAAAGTGATATGCACACACTCTTGAATCAATAATTATGATCCAATAATGTGTTTATGACTGAAGGTTCTTTCTCATTAGGCAGTTGTAGTTGAACTATTTGTATATTTTGATGGTAAATATCTAAGAAAATGGACTAGATTAGATTTGGGCAAAATATGAGGGCCAGAATTTCACTGTAAATCATTTTGGTCCAGCCCTTCAATCCTAAAAAAATTAATTAATAAATAAAAAAAATAGTATTAAGCTAAGTGTGGAGTCTGTAATGCATTTACCTCTATTCTAAAACAGTGCATTTCATCAGGTCCAGTCACTCAAACCTACCTTGAGTGCCGGCACCTGCAGAATGAAATTCAGATTAAATTAGAACTATTTTATTTGTTTTATCTTGTCATCAATGGTCTTGCTTTGGTCTCAGTGGTGCAGACAGAAAATGCAGGAATCTTGTTTAACTCCACATTTGTCTGGGCTTTAGCCAGTGTAGATGTTATGTTATGTTGTTAGCTGCTAGGCTAAACAGCATCACCAGTTTTCTTGGTTGCGTTGAATTGGCAACGTTATTGCAACTCTCATCAATCATGCTGACGTCCTGTGAGCCACCACATTTCAAAAATCCTGGAAACGCCCCTGGTTTGCTGGACACTGGACTTAGCAAGGACTAGAGACATCGCCAAGCCCTTGCTACTGTTCGGCAAGGAGGCGTTTCTTATCCCGTCATGTCATTAGTAAACAGCCACAACCTGAGTCCAGACGGGCGGTTTAATTACAGCACTGCTGCTCCGCCGTGTTGTAGGGTCAAATTATTGCTGGTCAAACAAGCAGCTCGTACCAAGCTAGCTCGTGTGTGAGGACAATGCAGGACGACATGACATAGTCAGTGTGTTGCACAGACAGATCGACAGACGTACAGGAGAGGGGCTGTCCTGTGGGTGGTGGGCTAGCAGTATCTGCGTGCCCAGCTAAGCATCCACACCCTGCTTGTAGCTAATACTTTAAGCTTTTATCTATATGCCTAACGTATCTAGCAACCTGACCGTGTTACTGGGTTTGTCAGCCATTGCAGGCAGTGCTGCGAGTGCGCTGCATGCACTGTACACGCCGGCTATATCACAACTTTGCCCCCTCATTTAAAAAGCGCAAATATGTAATGCGTAAATCACCAATAGGGGGGGGGGGTTTATTCTGTTTAATAGTAGCACAGCTTATGTTTTCTCTACAGGTAAAGTGCTTGCTAACTAACTAGCTAGCTAGCCCAGTTAACGTTCCGTTCGCAAGATAACGCACCAAATCCCATTCAGAAATCTGGAAATTACATCTTTACCTACTTATCGCACGCATCCACAGAAGCAAGAATAAACCTCAAGGTAGATAATATTCTACTCACATTCGCGCCAAATTCGGCATATTTATCGCACACATAATCTTAAGAGCTTCTGTGATTTGCCAACTTTCAAAATTATTCCTGCCACTTCCCAAATACACAGCTGTGGGCGGTAATAGCTACGCAAGTGTGAACAGTTTCTTTTAAAAGAAAGCGATAGAGGCAGGTTTACCTATACACGATGCTCAGCCATGGACTGTTAAATAGTTTGCCTGGGTTGCCGTGAGGGCTCAAAGATTTAATTAAATTTATAGGCACCATCTTGAACAATGTGTTTAGCCTACTATCTGGCAAATCCTGACATTTTTCAATGGAGTTTGGCATTCATTCTCTCGCAGCACGTACGGGGACTTGCCACCGAGTCACCCAAGAAAACCACGCTGCCCAATACTGCTTGGCTTTCAACATTTTCAACCCAAGGGTCAGCCGGGGGTAGGTTTACAGGGCCCCCCTCCCCCAGGAGAGGGCCCGCGTGTCCGCGGCCTCTCCTGCCACTCCTGGCTGAGCTCCTACCTCTGTGGGCCGGCTGATCTCGAACAGGTCGAGCCGGTTGGCGTTCCAGTGGTTGATGATGTCGGCCAGTTTCCTCCTCTCCTCCTCCCTGCTCCCCGACATGGTGGACAGCCTTTCCGTAGGTCCGCACTGTTGAATAAAACTTCCCGTAACGGTAGTCCACAGGAGAAGAAAAAGCCGCCTCACAAACCAAAGGTTCAGGTCTGCTGCTTTATCGCCAGGACTTCGTGCGTCTCTCCGCTCACCGACCGACCTGCTCTCTGATCTGCTCCTGCTTCGCGTTCCCGGTGAGCTTCTGCGCGCCCCCGGTCTATGTGTATGTGTGTGTTTGCGTTTGTGAACGCGCAAACTATTAACTGTTTCAGAACCGACACAATTGATCGATGACGCTGCTTTTCTTAAATGTGCAGTCTCAAAAGAAGTAGTCCGCTTATGGTGGTCAGCAGGATTAACTCATTATCTTTTCATTAAGACCCCAACACAGACACACACACACGCCCTTAAACCCCTGAGCGATTTATTTACACTGTAAATATATAATATCTACAATTCAGACAGTGAAATCCCACTACTTATCTTGTTGTTTGTTTGCACTTTGAAAAAAGTAAACAAACACTTGTGCAGAAGAGGAATAAACCTAAAAACTTAGAGATGCAAAAAGATTTGAATACAGTAGAAAAATTATAATTAATCTTTTTAAATAATTGTAATAATCCAATACATTAAACACAATACATTTCAAGTAGCACACAGAATTTTTTTTTTAAATTTAATTCAGGAGGCAGAGCTAGCTCATCTCAAGGTCAGCTAATCCAGTCCATATGAAAAAACTGAAAATTGCTGTGTGAATATAGACTGTAGTATTAAAAATGCTCGGTTAAAGTACAAAACAGTCCATTTAGCATTTGGTTGTAAATGTAAGATTCTTTTTTGTTACTTGTTGGAAGCACTGTGAAAGTGCACCAGAATTTTTCTTTATTAATAAAACTAATTGAAAATATCTTCTAATTATTAACCATTAATATTTTAAATTATTACCTTAACATCCAAAAGGTCTCTGCTAATCTATTTAGCTTTACATCTACCCTCGAATATAAAATTTTCACCTAATTTGCATGCTCAAATGGAAGCAAAAGAGTAAAGTGCATGCAAGAAACTTGATTTTAGAGGTATCATCTTCTTAGCATGTTACCCACCAGTGACCTGGTTTATGTTAAGAGGATAAAATTCCAGTTTTACGCACACAATCAGAGAGAGCATCTTATCTATGTATGGGATGGATGAGCCATTGTGTGCGGTTCTACATTCGTGATAACCTGTTTCACTGCAGTAGCTTTTTCCTTCCTGTGGACCCACTCTTCATAATCACACTCATTTCCTGTGTGTGTGTGTGTTTCTATTCTGTTTGTTGGGGGTAATGATGTGGCGCTGCGCTCCATCTATTAACACATGGCTGTGAGTGACTCTGAAAGGTCAGCAGATACATGTGAAATGTAATGATCTCATCTATAAAAATAGCTGTGATACAGCAGGGCAGTTAGTCATGTGGGCCGCCCACCTCTTCTCCCAGACAGGGTGCAGAACAGTAGCCCGGGCTTCTTATAAACACATTAGTCACCGTGCCAGAATTTCTGGGTGTTACTGTATAATGGATGAGTGAAGCATTGAGATCATATGTAAGTAATGAGTAAGGATTTTATCAGAACAGCTGATCTAACTTTAGCTACATGAGAGATTGCATAAAAATGTAAACATCAACAAATAAACTAAATATTGAATACTGCACTTTTACATTATAGTTTATATAAAAGTAATCAAATTAAACAATTAAACATTAAAATGACTATTTTCCAACCCACTTTTTTGGCCTGACTGTTACAAAAAGCCACACTTACTTTAGACTTCTTATATTCCTGTACTGTAGTCTGAAAATCAGTCTGATCAAGGTTTGATGTTATGTGATGAATCCTTGGATCTGTTCATTGCCAGCCATTTCATTTTGTACTGATCCAGCCAACTCTTCAAATTTTGTGTGCTTTTTCCTTTTCGGTGTCCTTACACTTACCATGAAACTGTGGTTATTTACTAAAACAGAAATAATTTCCCTAAAACTGATTCTCAAGTACAATTTCAGTAACTCATCTACATAGAGTGTAGAGGGTAAAGGAGCCGTGGCAGTTGTTTGGCTTGAAATGACAACTGTAATCTCCATACTTTCTTTTTTCTCGAAATAGTATTTCAATTTTATTCTTGAAATTCTGTTTGTGACAGGTAGCAAAAGGTTGTCTTGAAGAGAGAGGAGGCAAAACAGCTTGTTTTGAACTGTGACCAGTATAAAATAAATACGGATTATTTTGAGGTGTAACTCATGGAAAGCTACTCCAAGAGCAATAGGTAGGCATCTTAAGTACACCTCTCTAATATGCATATGCTAAAGTGGGTGTGTATGCAGGTATTTGACTTGCTATTGAGCCCCTTCTCTTCTTCTTTATGTGATGTGACAAGATGTGAATTCTTTGGGAACTCATTTGACATCAGCAGCAGAAGTGAGAAACCACAACAGGAAACCAACTTTACCAGATAGCCTTGCTACTTCCTGTATCTGTGATGTTATCACAGCATCAGTCACCACACACACACACACACACACACACACACACACACACACACACACACACACACAGGTAACAGACAGAAGTTTCACTGATTTAAAAAGCTGACCTACATGGCTTCTGCTGCTTCAAGTTCACGTGTTACCATAATTTCGTTGTACACACACAATAACAATTATGGGTGATTCTATTCTATTCTATTCTATTCTATTCTATTCTATTCTATTCACAGGTCTACTCCAGTAACTGGAAGAGTCAGTTCTTCTAATAAACAGCAAATGAGATCATTTGTTTTGTCCCGGCTCTGCTTTGCATTTCTCACATTTGCAGATGAGAATCACATGATACAGGTTCACTGCCCTCGCTGACCTCTAATTCTTATCAATTATTTTGTCTCCCGCTGTGACAACCCTCTGTTATTTATTTATAATCTGTTATTTATTTAAATCAAGTATAATAACCTAATGCTTATCTTACTTACAGAAACATTTAAGTGCAGATTATCTCTCAGTTCAAGAAAAGTTAACATAACAAAGACTTAAGACAAAACAGAGCTAACAAAGCGAGCAAACATTTGAGAGAGGATGCCTCGAGGAACAGCTCAGCACACAAAAATGATGTACAATACATTACAAGGAAGTCTACATGAAAGAAAGCAATGAGGAAGCTCCCAAACAGGAAGCAGCGAGGTGAGCCAGGGTGGTTTGTTTGATTGGAAATTTGCAGAACGAAAAACTGTTTATTTCAATGAACTTAACAACATGTCGACATGTCTTTATGCTGCAGTTGGAGTCCAGCTGTATGCTGATCTACTTATGTGGCCCACACTGACATATCTCAACAGCTACTGAATTAATTGCAATAACATTTTCTGCAAGCATTTGTTATCCTAAGAGGTTGCAGTCCCTACTCGACCAGGAAGTTCACCTAGTTGATCAGGTGACTGTGTGTCACCTGTGTTCAGTTCTGATCCAGGACCCTTTGATGTGTGTCTTTCCTGTCTAAAAAAATATTTACTATCATATCAAATAAGGGCAAAAATGCTCAGAAAAGTATGTTAAAGAATTCAAAATGGTTGGCGTTTTTAGCATTAACATCAGGCACTGTACAGCCTTAGAGATCTGCTGGTATGGCTGCAAGAATTTCACGAGGACATAGACAGTATATAAACGATTAACTTGACACTCTCTAATAGTTAGCATGAATTTTTTAAATATTATAATATATTATGATATATAATGTAGCATCATGCTATTAGGAATAATCTCGATGATGAAGCAGGGTATGGTTTAGGGTGTGTCTGCTTTGTGAGTGACCACTCCTCATTCGTGGTGTTTGGTCTAAAAAGAAACAAGAGGGCAATGGTTAAAGCTGATGCTTCAAAACTGAACTTCACAAACTCACAAGCTTTCCATCTGTGATCCATGTCTTTCCCTCCAAAAACAGACACTACAGAACTACAGAGTATCTTGTCCCACAGTTGGAGACATCATCCAGGAGAGGCTATTGCAAAAAGTACATAGATGATTCACAGATGCAGCAATGATTTTATTCCCAGTGAAATCGCCCCAACTCGCAGTTCGTAATGACTCATAACAATGTGAGTTGATTCTCAAAGGGACCCCGGCAGAACTGGCTCTGCATAAGCACCACATCTGTGGAAAAGAGGTAGAAGAGACTTGTCACTGAAACTTTATTTATGTCAGACAGCTGAGGGAGTCAAGTGAGACCTGACCTCTTGTATTTTATTGTTCATGACCGAGAGCGCCTCTCAATCTCATACCACTCCTTTCAATGTATTGTGTGTGTGTGTGTGTGTGTGTGTGTGTGTGCATGTGTGCAGTGTCACCTGAAGGGTATTGAATTTATTACCATCGCAGTGGATGGAGGTATTTTTAATCACCATATCTATACTTTTATTAAAACTACTGTTGGGTTAAGTGAGGTCATTGCAGAAAGACATAAACAGATTTGAGGTGGGGTTAATGAATAATGGATGTACCAGATAATAAAAACAGATTGATAAAGATGGAACAGAGACACTGAAAGCTTTTTCCAGAAAACCCCAAAAAGACAAACCAGGTCGAGGAATAGAGAAATCTTTTATAAAACTTTTTCAGACAGTCGAGTATGACCGAGAGCGCCTCTCCTGCAGTTTGAAATCAAACACCTGCACACTGTCATGACTCACTAGCTCTTAATCTCTAAAACAATGTGAGAAATGTGACTTTATCAAACCTTTCAGTAACATCCAGCAACTTTGACATAATCTTTATCCCACTGATTTGTAATGGAAGTGAGAGTACTTTAGAGCAAAGAGAGCTTAAGTTAAGCAAAAATAGATATTAATCAGCAGACACGTTGTTAAAGGATAAGAAAGGAAAACTTTGATGTGATAAGTGCTCAAACAGAAGCAGACACGAGGAGAAAGAAGGTTCGCAATTAAGTGTAATAACAGCTTTCCTTCTTGAAAACACCTCTGAAATCTAAACTAGCCCTGAAGATGAACTAAAGCAGGGGCTGTTATTGAGGGTTAAAGATTTGCACAAATAGCTGCAGTGTTTGACTATGTTCATAGATAGTCACAGTTATTCTCCCTCATGCTTGCAATTCATTTAATTCAATTATGTTACGTATTAAGAAGCTGGTAAGGTATAAAGAACATCAATAAAAGCTCAAA